CTACACATCTTTACTGGGTTGTATCAGGACTGCAAGCCCCTGACCACTCTTACCTGGGTCATTCGTCAGGACTGTTTATGCAGCGGATAGTCATGAGAGGTGAGACTTTCTTACTGCTTTCTATAAAAGAAATGGATTCTCCAAACTCATTGTTCCTTAGCTGCAACACAAACCCACCGCATGGGGAGCATCTTGCTGAGCCATATGGTGTCTCCCATAAGGGACTCTTATGCAAGACATAAGTATGCTAATGCTCAGGTTGCTTGCGGTATCATGAGTAATAAAGTCCTTCATCTCTGACTAGGAGTTTTGTGTTTTTTGCCAGTATCCAAGAAACAGTATCAGCCTAATTTTTTAGCTTTTAAGTAGGGTAAACCCCAGACCTGACCAAAAAATAGGAGTAATCTTGAACCTTAGTTTAACGCTTGGAATACTGTACACTTGTGTTCCAAATGACAAACCACCATATACTATAGGACTTGAGGCAGACCCTCAGTGTGAAATCACAGAAAACATGGAAGAACGTATTCCAAAAGGTGGGAATGGGTGTATGAAGTGAGGTGAAGGGAATAGGAATGGGATGGGGAGGTCTTCCTGGGGAGAAGTGGAAAGCACAGGAAGGGTCTCTAAACTAGACTTGGAACAGGCAATGGGAACCACCGCAAGATTTGAGTAGAGTAGTAATCAGAAATTGAAGATGATGAGTCTGAGAGGATAATGCAAAGTGAATTTAGGGGAAGAGGACCAAAACTGCCTGCCAGAACCGTACCCGTTAAGGAAACAGAAGAGTCATGAATAATCCAAGATTTTTGCCCTGTGAGACTGGAAATGAAAATGAAAAAACTGAGTAACTGTTTTGGGGGTAAGGGGTAAAATCAGCTTGGTTTTGAATACAGTAAAGGACATTTATGTGGAAGTATTCTCAACATATTTTTCATCACATGGTTGTAAATATAAATTAAAGTTTGAGGCAGGATAATCGCTAGCATAGGGATAATAGTGACAACTATCAGATGCTTTCACCAGAGGAGATGGTTTAAACAGAAACAGAAGGATGCAGGGTTGGTGGCCCAGTCTTTAGAGGATGCCAGTAATTGTATGCTGGAAACAGAGTCTAAAATAGAGTCATTTCAGGAAAAGCTCTTTTTCTTTTATCTGAGTAGCTAGAGCATTTTTCAAACTAAAGGTCACACCCCTCAGTGAAGTATAAAATCGATTTACTATGTCCCTTATAGTAAGGTCATGTATTGTTTTATGAAACATATGTTCTGGATACATACAAATAAATGATGTATGTACTGAGTTTTGATGAAAACATATTTTTACAGTGGGTCTTAAGTCAAATAAGTTTGAACTTTGGTGTAGTGGTTAAGGGCACAAGCTCTGGGGGAAGCCTGTGGGAGTTTGAACTCGACTCGAACTCTTCCTGTTGGACTCTGGGAAAGTTTCTCACCTCTTTGCTTCTTCCTTGCACTTTTTGAGATAATTGGTAGATTCACATGCAGTTGTAAGAGATAACAGAAATTTCATGTACCCTTAATCTAGTTCCCCCAAAGGTAACATCATGCAAAACTAGAGTACATTATCACAACCGGGATACTGACACTGAATTACAGTCAAGACCCACAATGTTGCCATCAACACGAGGATCCCTCATCTTGCCCTTTTAAAGCCAAACCCACTTCCCTCTAGCCCCTTACCCTCTCTTAACCCTTGGCAACTACTATTTTCCATTTTTATATATAAGTTCTATCATCACTTCAAGAATATTATATAAATGTAATCACACAGTATGTAACTTTTTAAATTGGCTCCCCCCCCCGCAAAATTACTTGGTGATTCATCCAGGTTGTTGGGTATATCAACAGTTTATTCCTTTTTATTGCTGAGCAGTATTCCACTGGGAACTTTTAACTCTGCAGGCCTCACTTTCCTCATCTATGAAATGATAATAGGGTTTTGAAGATTAAACAAATTTGTATATGTTAAGTATTTAGAAATGCTTAGGACACACTAAGGACAAAACACTGTTAGCTATTAAAATTATTATGGTTCTCCATAAATAACTGTTAACAATTTTATTTAAAATAAACCTTTACTGAATGACTATGTGACACAGTGCTAGATGCTAAGAATATCTCTTAGATATGCTCCTTCCATTTTTCAAGATGGTAGACGTTAAGTCTTAACCCAGAAGAAAATATGTCAAGGAATCAGTAAGCAATCTTGACCAAGTAATATTTCACACAGGTATATTATTTCCCTAATTCAAGTAACGTCCCGACCATTTCAACACTCAGAGAGATGGATGGTAATCTGGGTAACTGCAAATTCAGAGTCTGTTTAAGAGGCTAGTAATGAGTACAGAAAGGAATTAATATTTATTGAGAAACTAAAGATAGTAAACATTGTGCTTTTATTATTTAATTTTCATAATTTTCTAATGAGTTGCCAAACTTTTAGATACAAAGTAATAGTATATAATGAGATGAGATGCCAGATAATTGATCAGTGTGGAAAGCACCATACCTCTCCACCCTAAGAAGACACTTCATATTCTATTAAATAGGAGTTATAGACACACTGAATGTAAAACCAACCATCACTATAAGAAATCAGTTCACCAGAAAAAACTTCAATCTTGACAAAATTTAAACAAAACAAAACCCAAAAGCTAACAGTTCTAATCTGCAACCTCCTAGAGTTTGTTATTTTAAAAAAGCAAATTTTCAGGAGGCTGGAAACCAGAGTTAACACTTCATCTACTAAAAAAAAGACAACTGTTAGGGCACATCCATAATAACAGATGAGAAACAGAGTTGAAACAGCTCACAGTGAAGGTCTCCCGAAAAGAGCTGAGCCTCCATACATCGTCAGCTTTCTCAGGGTCTGAAACTGGGATCCATCCCAGACCCTGAGCTGCTAAGTGTGTTATGTATGGGCAATACTCCTTAACTCATGTTTATTCTTGTTACAAGTATGCATTTATAAAATCTTTTAAGTTATGTAATAGTACAGTAAAACTAGCATTTCACATAACTGAAATGAGGTAAGAGAAATAGAAAATGATAATAAAAAAGGGATGAAATGACTCAAAAGTTAATAAGTAAAGCCATTTCCCTCCCCTCCATTCTGATCTTTTTTTAAAACTACATTCCAGAAAGACTTTTCTGTAAATACATTCTTGACCAACATTACCATATACTATGTGACTGGTAATCTACTAGGATCATCAAAATATTGAGACAGTTTACATTTTCTATTTTTTTTTATGTGTTACACTGGTACAATTCATCTTATTTCCCTTTCTGATTTCATCTACAATAATCATTCACAAAAATTCCCACAAAAACTAAATGAAAAAGAGGAGGCTGCCTCTCACAATAGGCTTGATTCTTGAAGTAGTACTATGTATTAAAGAAATGGAATTTTGACAGGTTGAGTCCTAGGGAAGAAGCCTTCAAGAAGGGCATAAATTTGTTGGCTTTTATGCAGCACTTTTCTTTAGTACCTAGTCTATTAAAGGAATCAAAACCTTACACTTGCGTGGTGCCTGGTAAATAATAACAATAGCAGCTAACATAATAGTAAATGCTACTCACTGAATGAATCAATACCCTTCTCTTTGTTTTCCTATGAACAATCAATCAACTATGTAATACTGATTTTTTTCATTGAATTATACATAACCAGTTACAATAAAAGCAGAATCAAAGATGGAATAAAAACACAGTTTGAATATAGGAAATGAGATGAAACTTAGAATAATTTACTCATTCAAAGTAAAGTGCTGAAGAAGAAGTTACTGGGCATCAGTACTCGTCTGGTGTGACCAAAGGGACTGGGCACAGTACCATCCCAGGTCTCACATGGACATTGAGAAGTTTAAGACATATAAGGATTTTACACTTGAACTAGGACGATAAACACACAAGAAGTAGAGAACAAGTAAAAAGCCTTAAGCTCCAAGTCCTGCAGGGCTTGGGTGAATGGAGAAATGAATATGGGCCACAGCTGTCAAGCAGCACTTCCTTCAAGGTGCTCCCATCTGGAGGGTGGTAGTGGGGGTGGGGAGGGCGAAGGGGGAGAGTGGAGGGCAGTAAATGCTCCAGGTGGAATGCTGCAGGAGCAAGGCAGGAGAGGAGACTGACTCACTCAGGCGCAGGCAATGAAAAGGCCAATCTGCACGCAGGGCAGGGGATGTGTGTGTGAAGCTGGGGGACCTTTAATGCCCAGGCAAAGCGGGAGAATGTAAAATGATACAGTAATTGAGCCAAACTTCAATTTTTCTATTTTTATTATAAAATGTGTAAATTACCTTGATCTCCCTAAAGTTAGGTGCCGATTACAGAAGAAACTATTCTTGGTTTGGGGAACCTTTATATATTGGAACTTATGTGCTACTTTTGAAAGTAATTCCACCAGGAAGTAATGCTATTACAGGACCAAGCTGAAAGTGCTGAATGTTACGGAAATCCACAAATCTGAACAACATTCCAGGCTGGATACTTCAGATTCCTGGGATCTGTTTGTTTTTGACTACTGTGGAATTAACAGGAATATACGTTTTCACGAATGATAAAAAGATTTACATCTTCCCAACAAATAAATGAAAAAAAAATAGCCATAGAAAAACTTGATATATATCGAAACCAAGTCCCCTTAAAACATGTTATCTGACAAACATCCTGAAGGAACAGCATAAACATATATTTATGACACTGTACTTGGAACCACAAGGAGAAAGATTTTAAATGCAAGATTCTGAAAACCCTAATCCTGTACGAATGAGGTACCTGTATGGAAAATATGGCAAATATTTTTTACTACTCCAGTTATTGCCATGGGAAATAAAACCTAGAGCTGACAGTCTGGCTTATGGAAAACAATCAAAAGGTGGTTAGAAATTAAAAAAAGAAAAGAAAAGAAGAGAAAGAAAAAAAAAAAGACAGGAAGAAAGAAAAGAAAAAAAAGCTGAAAGATGTTGGTGTGGCACGCACCTTCTGTATCATCGCGCATTTGCTCCACCAAATCTGTCAAATCCTCCCAAGAGTCTTTGCAAACGGCAAAAAGAAAGGAAAAGAAAGATAAAATGTCATGCAAGCCAAGAAAGAAAAGTGCTATTAAAAACAAGGTTTCAAAAGGGATAACTGAAAGGGAGATTTCCTAGAATGCTTTCAACTTAACCCAGAGATTAACAGTGAAAAGGGCTGGGAGCCTACCCAAGGAGGGGTAGGACACTAAGCGAGGTATCAACTACGACTATTAAATGTTTCAAAGCTAAAATAATTTCAAAGTTTCTAATAAAAGGAAACAAAGATGCATGTCCCATAAAAAAAGTAACAAGAGATCTTTTTCCATTGAAAATCAAGACTAGGCTGTTCGTATTTTTAAGTGTGTACAACACTGACTTCATTCAACATTTGTTTTGACCACTTCAGTGAAGCCGGACGATATGTGAAATGCATTTTAGACTCAGGCCAAATATCATGATACAAACTAGTGACTCTTCTTAAAATAACCAAAGAAAAATCTAAATACCTTTCCCAAAGCCCTCCACCCCACGGTTCTTCCCCAAACCAAAAAAAAAAAAAAAAAAAAAAAAGACGCTGCTTTGAAGACAAAATAAATCACTTATAATACAATACAGATATTTATTCAGTTAAAAGTACTCCCTCCTTTTACTATCTATTCAGTGTTCTTATACACAGAATATTCCATCTGGGGCAAAAGGACAGGAAAGAACATGGAGATTACAAATATAATAGATACTTCTGTGTCTTAAAGCTGTAAGATGACTATTTGGAAATAAATTTTGAGAACTTATGGAAATTTTTTAAAAAGTATACTAGCTTCATCCTTCAGTAATTCTGAAGCTATTATATTGTACACAACTGCAATATTCACATGCAAACTCACAAAATCATGTGAATTTCATATGTATAAATATGCAGCAAATAAAGAGAAATTGTCAGAGGATGAAGCATAACAAAAATGAGAAAATGGGCAAAGAATACTTTGTCTATCATAAGCCTTCCTTCTTGAAAAATTTACCACAGAAACCACCATAGGGTCTGAGGCAATAACACAGAAACATGATCTTGGAAAAGAATTTATCATTTGTCCTGCTTTCTCACTAGTTTATTAAGTTATCACTGTAATTTAATTGGTTAATTTTTAGTTCTGATGTGATATAGTGATTTTCCAAGTGGGCTATAAGGGTACATTCTAGTGTTAAATAAATACATAGCTATAAAAATGTGATACAAATAATATTTAAATTTAAATTCAGAAAACAGGGAAGCAGATGAGTATCTAATAACGTGACATGTGATTAAAGTTGTAGACTGTTGGTTAGACCAGACCTGGGGACAGGGAATATAAAAAGAATGAAAGTATTGATAACTTTACACTTGTATTGTCTCCCAATTAAAAAGTCTAGAAATTAATAATTAGAAAACAACAGGAGTAGGGCACAGAAATCTAGGATTAAATCCCTAACTGTGTCAACATCCCAAGCAAGTCACGGTGGTTCAGAGAACAGATGCAGGAGCCGGATCCCTGGGGCTGACAACCCAGTTCCACTCCTAATGGCCCTATGACCTTGTCCCTTACTTCATCTCTTTTTCCTGTTTCCTCATTCTATAAAAAAGGGAAAAGAACAGTGCCTATCTTACAGCACTGTTATGAGGATAAAAGGGTAAGCACAGGACCCAATCCTTCATGTTATTATTTTCTGGCCAAATATATTTTGAAATTCAGATTATTTTTTTAATTTTAAAAAAGGTAAAATGGTAAATATGGAGGCCAAAAAACATGCAGAACTAGCAGGACCTAGGGCAGTATCTTACAATCAAGCACATTAACATTCCTGTGGGAAATAAATGATTATTCAAGTTAAATAAGAGAAATAAAAACTATAAATAGCCTCAAATAAATTCAGGTCATGTTTTAGCACCAAATGAGTCCAGGCAAATTTGTGAAAAATGCTCTTGGTTTTCAGAGCTTTTCTGGATTCTGCAATTGTGGTTATGTATGTGTAAAGCACTAAGATAGTGTTTCATATAGAAAAAGCACAGTATCAGTGTTAATTACTATTATTTTAAAATAAATTAATGCCAAAATACATTATATATTTATTTCCATATATCATTTTCAAATAGAATCTGACAATATGCTACAAATTTTTATTATGTAGGAATGTACTCTTAACCACCACATGAGTTTACTCTAAAGACTTGCTATGTTCACCTTGTGAAAGTCAGTGAGGTGGATATTTCTATTTTATCCTACATTTTCTTTACCTAGAAACTGTATTTGTCACCTAATAAAATAAAAGTCTACCTAATCATTAAAGCAAAATATAAAGGTCCTCTGAGACTTGTGCACAGAAGAGTTCTGGAAAGTGAATTTCTAGGTAGGAAGGGGTGGTGAGTACAAGGGGTCTCTCTGACTTTCCCCCTGCCATGTCCCATCTCCAGCAGTTTCTCAGGTTGTTTCAATCAGATACATTTTCTGTTATGCTTTTAAAAAGTTATGAGTATCAGAGTGATGGAATCAATTTAAAAGGGCCCTCCTCCCTGAAAGATAAAAAAGGTGTGTTTTCTTCTTCTAAAGTTGTTTTCCACTTACCGTGGCATGCTCAGTATTTTATTGCAATAAAGAATGGATACTGTGATGTTCTTTTATAATCTTCTCAAAGAAGGATTTACAAAATATTTTAAAAATTATGCCCCCTGGAATATGTTCAAATTATTAAAACAACAACAATGAAAGTATCTAATACATGAATTGAAGATGATAGTACCATGGACAATTCTTGTCTTTTCCCCAGAACATTTCACTTTTTTAGGGATAATACTTTGCTGCTTTTGAGCATGTTTTACCTGATCTAAAAATATATATTAACTTTGTGTCATATAATACATATTCACAAATTTCAGAGAGCAATAATCTAAAGGCTAGTTGATACAGAAGATAGGCCTGCATTAAAATTTGTCTATTGATAGTGCATAATTCAGAGCTGTACCAATCAGAACTATGCCAAATGTGTACTGTAAAGTTATATAGTAAAGGGAGCTTCCAAAGATACTCTAGCTAAACACAGAGCCTCAGTTCCCACTCAAAACACTGACTGACAAGGAAAGGAGTTGCATAGCTTGGAAATGGATTGTCACTGTGGGTGGTGCCCTGAGTCAGCTAATGAAATATCAGGACCACCACTCCACTTTAAACGCTTGGATTAAATGGTTAAAAATGCTGCACTAACAGACTCATGAGATGCACATGAGCAAAGACATTTTTTAAAGTCAAGAGGTAAGAGACAAGGCTGGAACTGTACAAGGGCCCCAAATTAGGAAGCATAGCTTATTTGAGGTTCAGTGAACCGTTTTCTTGGCTAACATTCTGTTTCAGGTCTAAGACTAAGTCAGCAGACTATTAGGTAGTACTGTAAAATATTCGCCCAGTGGCGATGGCAGTGTAGTCAGGTAGAAGGTGCCCTGGCTTTGACACTGATAAAGATTTGGGGTCGGGCCACTGTTGTCACAAGGCCTTGGGCCCTGCGTACTTCCATCTTTTTTCTCTGGATGAGGGAATTAGCTGAAGCTCCTTCTCTCTTAAGAAATGCTTAAATGAGCTCAAAGTCCCTCTCCATGTTTACGCGTCCAGGGCTGTGAGATCTCTCTTCTTCTTGATATATTCTTTTTTCAGGAGTGTCATTACTATAGACAACCAAGTTACAGTCAAATTTAGAGATAAATGTAACCAAGTTACACTGTCTCCTTGAGGCTAGGTGGCTCTGATTTAAAAAGTGTATTACAGTTTCTTGGGGGGGAAGTCTTCTTGAAGGTCCAACTACTGATCATAAATAACTCTTTAAAGGACTGTTGTGAAAATAAAAGCTAACCAATTTAAAGTACTTAGCCCACCTTAGGTATTCAATGTCGACTTTACCTTTACAAGAAACCAACATGTGCCCTGTATTCTCAACAAGCTGGATTCTTCTAAGTATATTTGGCTAACAAGCTGGATTCTTCTAAGTATATTTGCCATAATTAAAAAAGAAAATAGAGTGGGATTTAAAAAAAAAACTAAACTACATATTAAACACAGCAGAAAAAACAAGTCAACACAAGTAGACCAAATGACAAGTTTAACAGCTGAGGTGCTGTCCACTAACTAATAATACAATTAGCTTGGTAACATAAATATTAGTATAGGAACTATCAAACTAATTTTTAAAAATGCTAAGAGGTTCTGTTCTAATAAACCAGTAATTTAGGCCAAGATCTTTTCCCCACAGCAGAGTAAAAACAAAAATATCACAAATGGTCCTGAAAAAAGTAACATTAAATGACTGTGATCCTGTGATTTGTAACATGAAATCTCTACTTGGTCTTCCTCCCCAGTCCCTGACACAGGGCTCCTGAAACCTAGTAAATTCCTAAGTGATAACAGCACTAGGAGCATCTTCTGTTCTAATGAGGTGACTCTGGGTGGGCTCCTGGATGGGGGCTGGTCCCCAGAAAGACCAAGTCATGATTATAAGCTTGAATTTTCAGTCCCACTTCCCACTTCTTTAGAGAGGGGAAAGGGGCTGGAAATGGAGGCTACTGATCATGCCTATGTGGGGAAGTCTCACAAAATCCCAGTAGTATGGGGTTTGAAAGTGTTCCAGTTGGTGAACACATCTACATACCAGGAGGGTGATAGACCCCAAATCCACCAGGAAGAAGCTCCTGCATTTGGGACCCTCCCAGACCTCTCCCTACGTATCTCTTCATCTGGCTGTTCATCTGTATCCTTTTCTCATATCCTTTAATAAACGGCAAACATACATGTTTCCCTGAGTTCTGTGAACTGTTCTAGCAAGTAACTGAATCTAAGGGGAAAGAAAGAGGTCATGGGAACCTCTGATTTGTCGCCAAGTTGGACAAAAGTTGTGGGTAACCTGGGGATCTACTACTACTTGTGATTAGTATCTGGAGTGGGGGGCAGTCTTGTAGGACTGAGCCCTTAACCTGTGGGATCTGACACTAACTCCAGGTAGACA